ACATACATACATACATACATACATACATACATACATACCTGGGTATCAAAACAACTAGAAACCATGTTTGTTCCAATATGGCAACTGAGATCCTTTACCATTGGATTTGCTCTTGTTTTTTTGTGAAACATCCATTTCTTTCTGGTTAGTTTGGATTTTCCATGGGTATGTGTTGAGAAAACGAAAGCACACACCAGATGTGTGTGTTTTGTTAACTCTCAAACGTCACCCAAGAGAAGAACGGCTCCGGGGAACATCTCAGGGAACGAGTCACCGTCGGTGTTTTCTTCTTTTTTAGGTATTTATACCATAATTCCACCGGTTTCTTGTTGTAATGGAATATATCCACAAATTATAGCTCATGCATCTGTATGGAACAATGACACTCGCATGCACTCACTCGCATGGTCTTCGCATCTCAGTGGTCTTCGCAGCGTCGGTGGTCTCAATGTTTCTCTGGATCGGGCGATCGAAGGCTCTGAAAAAACGCTCAGCGAACGTGGTAGGTCTGGGGGGATCGGGTCACCAGCGGTTTTCGTCACCAGCGGACCCACCCAGGTCAGCCTCAAAAACCAGTCTCTCTCTGGGTCTCACCTCGCGACGTAGACGGCCGTCGTACGGGGCTGCCGCTTTAACCCGCTGGGACCGTGAAATCACTCCACACTCCATGGGATTGGCATATAGACCGATCAGGCCAGGGGCGGTTGAAAAGGGGTCAATCTATGGAGCCATATGCCAGTCCCATGGAGTGTCTGGGACTGGGACCGTTTTCTGGACCGGTGTCTGGACATCGTGACGCAGCAGAAATCTTAAGCCTGGATATATATATATATATATCCCTAGACCTCCAGTCGTACCTGCGTTTCGAAGGTGAGACGACCGGGGCCCGGGTGCCAGCCAGTCGGGTCCAGTCATACCGTACCTGAGGAGGTGCGACTGGAGGTCGGGATATATACAGGTTCAGAGTTGGGGTGCTATCCATGGAGGACGTATGGAGGTGCCAACCTGTCACCACGACTGGATGGAACGAGCCACACCAGCCAACTCACTCCATGTGACTGGATGGAACAGGACTTTTTTGCAACATGATCCGGTTCAGAAGACGAACAGCCATATGGTTGGAAGAACCTTTGCAGAACCACGCCATCCGTGCGAAGTGACATATGTCGAAGTGACATGGACTGAAAAGAACAATGCCCCAAACAACGTCCACCCCCGTTTTTGTTCCATTGGACCCAGAGCGCACGAGACGGCACGCAGACCGATGCCCACCGGCGACCGGCGAGCAACTCGGCGACCGATTCCGGTCGATTTCCGGTCGATTCCGAGGGCTTCCGACGGGTGACCCCTGGACTCAAGAGGCCACGTGCCTATTACTGTGGGGCCCCGGCACGAGGCACGAGGCCCGGACCTCGTCGTCGCTGTTGGATCCACCGAACCAGGTCGGTACGGTGAGGGCTTGGAGACTTGACTATACGGTGGGCGCCTTGGGTCGGGCCCAGTCATACCTCAGGTTCGGTGGATCGATCCATAGGGCGCCACATATGTTGACACATGTACTCGCTGGTCAAGGTCTCTTGTCTCCCGGTTTTGAACCCATCGCCACTGTGGGTTCGGTCCAAAGGTTGTGAAGGTCGGTCCCCGATGTTCGTGTTCGACCAGGTTGTCGTGAACTCTGGCCGGATGGCCGGTGGTCGTGAAGAACTCACGGTCCCTGATGTGCCCTAAGGATCCAAGTACCCTCTGAGAAGGTGGGACTGGGGTGGGTGCCAGGAGGGTCCAGTCGTACCTTTTGAGGAGGTACGACTGGATCCCTAGGGGTGTATTTTTTAGTTCGTGATCGGGGACTGAAGGTTTTGGGCCATCCAAACATTCCTCACTGCCTGGGTCACTGCGGACCTTGGGACATCTACGGTTGCTTCTTCAGCTGGGTCTCTGGATCTGGAAGCATGGGGAAACCTCATGTACCGGTTTCCTCATTCTTCCAGTTTCAGACCAACATCCATACATGAACGGACGAGGTTTAGCTTTTCCAACATATGTTCGTCCCGGAGGAATCTTTGGACGCTGCTCGCCCAGGGTCGACCCCCGAACTTGGGACGAATCCAGCTACATGCTGGGAACCAGTCCAAACACCTGGGTGGTGAGGGTCAAAATAGTGAACGAAGGCGCAAACAGGTCCCGGGTCCTTCTGGGTGGCACTGATGATTTAGTCGCCGGACTGGCATTGGGCAGGTTCTTGGAGTGAATGGCTAGAGCCTGGGGATCCAGTCGTCCCTTCTCAGAAGGTACGTAGACCCTCCAAGCCTACATCATGTCTCCAATCACCTTCTGGGAAGGTGCTTGGATCTTTATGGAGACATGTTGGACCGTTCAGATCCCGGTTTTGATGTTTCGTGAAGTTCTGAAGAACACATAGGGAATCCTGCGATTGTTTGTGACACGGACTCCATGTGGCCAGATGGCAAGACAAGGGCTCGATGTTCCGCAGAGACAGATGGCGTGAACCAACAGGACTATAGTGTTGCACTTTTGCTCGAGAGTCGTGAGCGCGAAACGTGTTTGAAGCATGAATCGATCTTCGCTGCCCATGAATTCCGCGAAAGCAGCACTCCACTACCATGGTGAGTGCATCCCGTGCCGCTACTTGCGGCGGCCGGGTGGATGTCAACGAGGAGATGAATGCAAGTTTTGCCACTTGTGTACAGAGACTCTGGGATGGCAAGGGACAATTCGACGACCTGCCATCACACATCTTGGACTCGGAGGGTCACGTCAGGGCTGTTCATCGGGGTGTCTTCTTTTGCTTCTTTTCCACGTATACTGGACGAACCAAAGGACCACGATCTGTGCAGACAAAGGAAAAGGACAGTTCGTCGGTTTTCCGTATCGTTCGTCGCTTCGGGGTTTGGTGGGTTCCGGAGGGCGCGAACCGCAGGACCTCGGCGATCGCGACCTAAAGCATCGAGTGGCCAGTAGCCGACGACCTCCGGTTTGGTTTGGAGGGAGAGCCAGTGTGTGTTTGGGGGGGGTCTGGCTGACCACCCCACCGGTCACCGGTCATCAGATAGGACGTAAAGGGGAGCCCAAGCGGGAAGATGGAAGGTGGAAGACGAAAGGATCAACGTTTCGGTCACCATTTTGGTCATGTTTGCGACCTGTGCACTGGGGCGACCACTTGGACGACCTCAAGGCCAGGAGTCTGTGGGACACAACCTGCCTGCAGTGGGACAGTCCTGGAAATGAAGATCATCGAAGATCCTAATGGTGGCAGTGTCTACCTGGACCTGAAGAAGAGGTGGCCAATGGAGATCAGTCCAGAGATCCACAAAGTGTGTGGCACCAAGGTCCAAGAAGAATCCCAAAGACATGACCAATGGGACCAGCATGTTAGTTAAGCACATGTGGGTGGTTGAGAAAAGTCAATGTAATTAAGTGTCAATGTACTATAAACATAAAATATTCAAGTCCGGAGTGTACATATCTTATAGTTATAACATATATATATATATTATATAACTATAATCATATATCACATATATATATATGTATACCATATCTGTCAGTAAGCAGTCAAAAACGCGCAGACACCAATGGTCTTGGACCTCGCTGGTCGCCGGGTCTGGGTGTCCTGGTCCGGGATCTTCAGCACCCGCCGACCAGGACACCCGGTTGATGGCCGGCGGGTCGGAATGGTAGATCTGTTGGTTCAAAGAGCCGGATCTTCTCGCACCGAACCCAACAGGTCTCCGTTGCATGGAGGTTTGGTGTTAGGCCCTGTCTCAGGTTTCAAGGAAGGTGACCTGGCAGTGAGGTGCTAGTTGGCTTTTGGACGCCCAAAAAGAAGGAGGTCACATGTGCCGCCCAGCCGCGGGTACTGTGGATCAGGATCGTTAGGCCGGGTCTTTGGAGACGGGATTCGATAGGCCTGGCTGCCAGGCCTCCAGTGACCAAGTCGACCAGGTGTACCGAATTGCTCAATTTCACCGAGCTTCCAGATGATGTCAATACCCTAGCTAGGGTTCCAACTACCTAGCTCCGTTTCGAAGGTGGGCCGGGGGTGGGTGCCAGGGGGGGGTCTAACCACCGAAACTGAGGAGATGGGTGGAGCCCTAGGGACAAGTCTCAGAGATGATCAGAGGACTCTACGCTAGAAAAAAAGCAGCGTGCAGTTTGCACCCCTGGCTACCATGTGTTTCACCGGTTTTCGCAGTCGTTTGTGTTGCTTCTGCCGGAAACGGCCCAAGGAAGGAAGTGAAAATCTACTACTTCAATCTTCGAAAGGAAGTGACGCTTGCAGCGCTTTTCATCCGACGGACAAGCCGGGCATTTTGGAGATGTGGTTTGCGTCAAGACTCAGGTTTTTTCTCGGGTGACTCGTGGTCAGCTTCGGGAATTTGTTTGAATGAGGTTGACAGAGGTTTGCTTGGTTCATTTTGCTTCATGATTGAAAATGACATGTGGGGAATAGATCCAAATTACTAGTTTTCCCAAGCCTTCGAACCTAGGTCTAATCTAGTATCCACAAAGCTGAGAGATGTTGTTCCGATAATGCTGTTGTATGCGTCTTAGTTCTTTTTGAACCTGTTCCATAGCATAGAACAATGTGTCTATCACATGAACAAACAGTTTTAAGAGGTTTCTTGATGGTCTTACTCCAAGGAAGGAGGGAAAAGAATCAAAACAGAAGAAGGACTGCTGCAACCGCCCACGGCTGTGAAGCTTTTTGTTTGTCTTCCAGGCTGGCACAGAACTACCGTAGGTAAGTACCATCGTCTTGAAGAAGCTCTCGTGCAGGTTAGATACGGTTTTGTTGCACCAGATCGAGCAGAGGTTGTGACGGGTTCTAGGTGGTAGATGATTGAGCCAAAATGGGTTTCCCTTGATGTTTTTGTGCAACCTTCATACACTTGAGCGGAGTATACTTGTCAGGTATAGATGATGATATCTCGTTCGTTCAATAGCCCCCCACCGATCTGGATGTTTCATGAAGCACCCAAGGCCCTAAGGCCCTATAGGGATCTACCCTCACGGGGATGGTGGATGGCACCACCGTTGTTCGGTGAGCACGTCCAGTCTTCTCCACCCCCCTGTTTGACCCTACGTACGTCCAGTCTGATCCAGTACAACCAGGTCTTTTGCCTTCTTAAGTATTGCTTTTTTGTTCTTCCCAACTCCAGCAACATGATTTTTGTTTTTTGTCCCTGACTTGGGCTATCTTCAATTCACCGATGCGGATCCACCAACAAGCTTTCGTCCGACTGGACAAAGAAACCGAAGACTTGGCCCGTATCACGGGGTCTCCAATCACATGTGGATCCATAGGGGGGGCAACATTGCCCTACACCTCCAGTCGTACCTCCTCAGGTACGGTATGACTGGACCCTCCTGGCACCCGGGCCCCCAGTCTCACTGAACCGACACGATACGACTGGGTCGGCCAAACGGCTTGTAGATACCATTGGACCCATCACGGCTTAGTAGGATCAGGATGGACCCATCATGGTATGTGAATGTCTCACAAAACCCATAGACTCCATGGGACTGCCATAGGACTGCCGATCAGTGGACCCCCCTGGCACCACCACCCCTGGCCTGATCGGCATGGCAGTCCCATGGAGTCTATGGGAAATAGGCACCATTTCACTTTACGCCGTAAGTAGATAGGTCGGATCGGTCGTTTTTGAGAATCGCGTGTGGCTTTTTGCAGGAGAAGATGGCAGTCATGACCCCATCCCCCAACAAGATCCATTGGCAGGCCAGCGGCCGCATTTTGGGCCGCGTCAGGCTTTCTAGGAGGTGAAAGGAGCAAGACATGGTGAGGATGGAGCAAGCAGAGCTGCAGAAACTGAAGCATTTTGGGATGTTTTTCTTGGTGGCTTCATCCACTGTGCCGTCACTGTGCAGCACTGAATCTGCTGCTGCAGCTGGACTTGAGACCGACTTTGAGGTGTGAAACACCAACTCCAAACGGGTAGCGCTACCGCTGAAATAGCTTGGCGACAGTGACCTGACAAAGGACATGATCATATAATGACATATACTATATAGTATGCACCATTCTTATACTTTCTTATGTACCCTATGAATCCACATACCGAACCTGAGAAGGTGCTTGGAGACTATTTATGTAGGCGCCAGGAGGGCCTAGTCACACTTTCTGAGAAGGTGGCAGTGGATCCATATGGGATATAACTAGTGATATTTATGACCTCTCACGTGGTCCACCAACACTTATGACTGGATACCCTTCATGATGGACATTTGCTACACTCCCGCCTGGAAATCAGATGGACCATGTTCCTCTATGGCACTGTGCGGTGCCATCCAATTCCAGGGAGAGTATTTTTCCCGGGATCCGTGTGGACTCGTACCGTAGGGACCCGGGTCGAACGAGTTCCGACGTCTCTTGACACAGAGACCCCGATCGCCGTTCGACCCGTTTGGAAGGTAGACTGGAATGTCTTGGGGGAATGAAGTACCAACTGTGACGTCCGAAAAAACACCTTCATTTTGTATTCATGAATGTTGGTTCCAGGCAGAGTCTCCGGATTCGCACGAGGTTTCCACACGGACTGAACGTCCGAACAAAAATCCGTCCTCCGAAGGCTTCCGGACGGACGAGCTGGAGCGGAATCGCCACACAACGGCACACCCAAAAAAAACGCACCGGCGCACCGGCCATTTTGAACATGGAGTAAACACATGTTGTTTTTTTCCGGGGGTCCTGTGGGTTCATGGATTCATGGAATATATGTGTCAGACTATTTTACTAGAATAATACACTATGTTTAAAACTGTAGTTGGCTAAGCAACCTTTTGAAACTTGGGCCACAGCTGTTCTGTGCTAGACCGCTTTTTTCACCGGGCGCAGGAAAGCCCAAGCCCAGAGTGGATGGAGACTACAGAGACCGACGTGCCCGATGAGAAGCTTGGCTTTGCTTAGATCAACATAGCAGGGTGATTTTGATGTTGACATGGTGGAATCTTGTGGCACCGTTTTTTTAATGGGGAATATGTGTTATTGTGTGGGCACCCAGCAGCAAATCCAAGGAAGATGATCTTCTGGCTTTAGAGCCAGATGGTGAAGGAACTAAGCGATCCGGATGGTGAAGGTTCGACGCTGCGGTCGGCTTCGACCCTGTTTTCGACCCCAGATCGGGCGATCTGAACCGGTCACGGGAAGCATCACAAGTCGGCCTCTTCGGCGCTTTGATGAATTTGGGGTCAGATGGTCTACTATAGGGACAAGTATGTGGCACTGTTTGATGGCTCTGACATGGTCTGACTGGAAAAAAGCTCTAGATCTGTATGTTTGGTGTTTGGGGGAATGATACTTCTCGATCAATAGGTAAAGCATTCTGCAATATTCTGCAGGTTTCTGGATGTGTTTCACAAATGATGAACGATCTCGCAGAGGCCCATTGTAACCATGGACAAACACAGCCCATGAGTCTGGAATAGATGCTATACATTGACTACCTGAAAACCACCCCCAATGTAGTTACGTAATTTCATGGAGTGGTTCACCAACTCAGACCATTCATGGGACTGGCCTATCTATCTATCTATCGATCGATCTATCGATCTATCTATCTATCTATCTTTCTTATCTACCTATCTATCTATCTACCTATCTATCGATCGATATATCTATCTATCTTATCTAGTCTAATCTAATCTAACCTTATGTTTATCTTATGTTTTTTTTTTTTTTTTTTTTTTATCTCCTTATCTATCTATCTTTCTATCTATCTAAACTTTCTTATCTATCTTATCTATTTTATTTATCTAAGCTATCTAATCTATCTAATCTAACTATCTATCTATATATCTATCTATCTATTCTTATCTTATCTTATCTTATCTTATATATTCTTATCGGATCTTATCGTATCCATCTAATCTATCTATCTAAACTATCTAATCTATCTAATCTATCCTATCCTATCCTATCCTATCCTATCTTACTATCCTATCCTATCCTATCCTATCCTATCGTTCTATCCTATCGTTCTATCCTTCTATTTATCTATCAATCTATCTATCTATCTGTCTATCTATCTATCTATCTGTCTATCTATCTATCCTGTCTATCCTATCTATCCTATCTATCCTATCCTATCCATCCTATCCATCCTATCCTATCTACCCATCCTATCCTATCTATCCTATCCATCGATCTATCCTATCTATCCTATCCATCGATCTATCCTATCTATCCTATCCTATCCCATCCTATCCCATCCTATCCTATCATATCCTTTCCTATCCTATCTATCTTTCTATCTATCCTATCTATCCTATCTATCCTATCTATCTACCTACCTATCTATCCTATCTATCCTATCTATCCTATCTATCCTATCTACCCTATCTGTCCTATCTATCCTATCTATCCTATCCTATCTATCCTATCCTATCCTATCTATCCTATCCTATCTATCCTGTCCTCTCTATCCTATCCTATCTTATCCTATCCTATCCTATCCTATCTATCTAGTTGTAGGTCAAAACCCGGGACCGTACTTGACCACTGACCGATGAACTTGCGCACAAGTTCAGCGCCCCCAAACGGCCCTTTGAGGGGTGACTACTGGGGGGTGACCGACCACAGCAGGTGAATCGACCAATTGGCCTTGAGGTTTCATTCCATAGCCACAGCCTGGGGTGGTTGACCTTAAGAGAGGCATAGTCGTTCGAGGAGTCACATGTCGGGGTAGTTCTTCGTCCGCAGTGAATGGATGTGTGGGGCCAGGGCACCCCTAGCCTTCCTCCAAGTTCGTTCGGCCGACCGCGTTGGAACTCCTTGGTTTACACTCCCTGGAATCATCATGGGACGTGGATGGCAGGGCACCAGCCTTGTCCTCTCAGGACAGGTCGTCCGAGCCCGGCCAATGTCGTCCGAGCCCACGATGGCACTGGGAGTGTATCCCTAGGGCTCCAACTGGTGCCAGGGGTGGGTGGTCGACTGGGGGTCGAATACCACCAGTCACCGGGTCGGAGATGGGACGTTCGGAGCCCTAATCCATAGACGAAGGGTGAGACAATTACGACAGATCTTTTTGTTCCAGTCGAATGCTGCGCCGGAAGAGCTCCAGCCGCCGAAGAGCTTGCTGGAGAGCTAGCTCGCTGCTCCCCGTGTACCGAAGCCTGCAGAAATCGGGCGGTTCCTGCAGAGAGACCGACCATTGTTACCGAGCCAGGCTCGACAAGGAATGTGTGGGTTTCAAAATTCAACCCAGACGACCCGAAGCAACTGCTACATGTCATGAGGTCCAAAGACCTACTTCAATCGATGCATTCTAGTTCTATCCTGAATCAAACTGCTGAACCTGTCCTGTCTAACAAACAATTGCGACAGAATGGCCCAGTACGGCCAAAACTATGCCAGCTTGAGGTACAACCGTACAACCCCTCAATTAAAAAAGCAGCATTACTTTGTTTAGATTCGGAGCCTTGGAACATTCAAGAACTTGACAAAAAAGGGGGAACACATATTTGGTAGGCATTCTATCAAGGGTTTGGCAGGCGTGTTCTTGAACATCTTGAACTAACCCCGAGGCCTGACACCCTCCAAGAACTCATCTTTGCTACTCATGCACGCTCATGCGATGGAAAAGACTGTGGACATGGGGTGAATGGGTTTATATAACAAGCCGTCGCCTCCCAATGGGATTCATCAATGTCCGAAATCCAGAATGCAAGTATTCCAGCTATAGCATACACTCCAATAATTTTATCATGGAGGTGGAAAACCACCTGTTTGTGCAGGAAATTGTATTCCAAGCTGATATTTTCCACTCGCACGTACATAATCGTATATATATTAGAGTTTTGTTCAATCGCACGGCCGCACAAAAGAACGCGCTGTTCGTCGTTGGGTATGATATCTTCCTCGGTCGCACATGGATTGGTCATGGAATGTCTGGCAGCACGTGTCTCCATCCAACAAACCTGGCCTTTTAAAAGCAACACGCTTCGTTTCCAACGACCTGTTTGCAGAGGGGGCCGTCAATAGGAGCCGTCATCTCACCGCAGCGAGGTCCTTCGATAGATCGGTCCTTCGCGGTGCCACTCATCGGCCTTGGATGGTTCTGGGTTTTGGGGGGTCACATGTCTTGATGGCCTTCCAACAGGAGTAAGGAGTGGTTTTTATATATCAAAACGCCCCCCCCCAAAAAGAGACCGCATTCATGCATGGCATATATGTTATACTTATATTTTTGTGAGCATGAGCGCCATTCGCAAAAAGAGCTGGTCACGATCATTGTCGATTCTCGGGTTTGGCTCGACGTTGAAACAGACAGACCATGTGTCACCTTAGTTCCCTTCGACCTGAGATGAGAGATCCCGACGTGGTGGCGACGCATGCGCGCGAGAAAAGGCCATCCATTGCGGCGTTACCGGGTGGTACTGGGTGGACACAGTTAGACTAGTTCATTTGAGCCACTCTATAGACCGTGTGTGCGCTGCCAACCAGTGCTTTCCTTTTTGTAGGACAGCTATAAGCAGTGGCGTGAAGCAAATTCTTACGAGATTTCAGCAGATGCCACGCGTTTTCAGAGCTGCTCATTTGATTTCACAGGTGACAGAGAAGGTGAGATCTTCCCCCTACCCATGAAACCTCTTGGGGTATTGGTTTTCCGGGAAAAAAACCGGCTGACGCCCGTCATCGGCGGACCACCAACGCAGTGAGCACCTCCCGGAAGCAAGGACGCGTCGAAGGGCTGAAGAGGACTGACTCCGAGATTTGAGGACGTTTTGTTTGCTCCACCCTCAGAGGCGACCCTGGACCCGAACCAACTGCTACATGTTGGAGGTCCAAAACCCTGGCTGTGAGGGTCAAAACCATGAGACTTTGGGCCTGAAACATTGTGGATCCACTGATCCACCGTACCGACCTGAATCGGTATATGACTGGGCCCGAGCCATGTGGCACCTACATAACAGTGTCTCCGTTCGCCCTCACCGTACCAGCCTGCTTCGGTATGTGGATCCATAGGGGGACCATGAATGGTCGGACGTAGCGGTATACACCCCACCCAGGTGCTGAGGAAAGCCTAATAGACGTGGAAGCTGCCATTGTGTAGCGGGTGTTCATTCGATGCTCCGGAAAACTTTGGAACCTTACTACTAGCAAGGACGCTACGTTTAGTAGTAATGGCCTGCACCCTATATTAGCGATGGCCTCTAACCTAATCGCGATGACCTCCAACCTAATAGCGATGGCCCACGTTCCGACTAAGATCAATCTGGACCTCCGAACTGGACCTGGACTTGCATTAAGCTGATTCTTTTTTCCGGATGAATCCTCAAACCTGGTGAAGATTTGTGTCATGTTCTTCCCCGGCTTCCGGGGATTTGACTCCCGGCGTTTGATCCAAGTGATCCAAGTGGAGCCCCCACAGGGGCTTGGAGTCCCAAATGTTCACCCCTTCAGGTCGGGTCCTTAATTCTCTCTCTCACTGCTGCGGGGTCTTCTACTCCCTAGACGTGTGCCCTTAGTTTGATTTTAGACTACAACAACCAGGTCAACCGTTCCTTTTGAGGGTCTTGGAAGGCTAAGGATTAAATATTCTTATCATAACCCTAGGGATCCAGTCGTACCGAACCTCAGGTTTTAGGTGAGGAAGGAGGCACTGTTATGTAGGTGCCATTGTCGGGTCCAGTCGTACCGAACCTCAGGTTCGGTACGAAAAAACATCCCTAGGGATGGCGCAAAATCCCTGTGGAAGCCACGCTAGCGCAGAAGTCGTGTGCAATCGGGGATGGCGCAAGGAGTGGAGCAATTCAGTCGAATGCGCAGGGCATTCGACTGACCAGTGGTGGATCGTCCATGGTTCACCCCTGTTCACCCTTCCAATCTTGATCCATATAGACAATTGACCCCTCAAACCACCGCAATATAGGCAAATATGCCATACATCGAGTGTTTGGGATATATTTCTATGCAGACTACATCAAATTACCGGCAAGATCCGTTAAGCAAGGATGATGACATGTAATGACAAAGCTCCATGCCCTGTGAGGATTCAGGATGTGTGGTTCAGTCCTTTTCTCGCAATCAACAAC